ACAATAATGGCATTGATGTCACTCCCATGAGGCCCCCGGCTTTTACAGACGGCCCCACACTTGCGTGGAGCTTGTAGAATGTAACCTGGTGATCTCAACATCGGCAGATAAGCCATCTCTTAAAGGACAAAGATTTGTGATCACAAGGTTGCAGGTTCAAATCTGACATGGAGCAAAAATGGTCCTGCAAATGCAACTGACATTAGCCAGCTTTCTATCTGGCCATGTATCATGGTAAACTGTCCAAAAAACTTGAAAAGTGGGGCGGATGACTTCTAATAGGGTGCTGGAATGTGAGTTGGTCGAACAAACATCGAAACCGTGTTCCAGTACTGGTGGATGATGTCGGTAGTTAGGCAACACGGATATAGGGGCTGCCGGTGCATATACAGATTAAAATAACTGTTGACTACTAGCGACTCTCAACCCTTTCATCGCTGATGCACACCGTAATTCACACATATTATGCATGCAGGTTACGATTATTATTAGCAAAGAGTTGCGGATTCTTTACAGAATCTCTGCAGCATCCATTTATCACGGATGCATGGGCAAGCATTTGGTGTGGATGCTGTGGTCCTTGCTCCCGACAGGAGGCCTTCAAAGCATCTCTTGGAAGAGGTGTGTGTATTCAATCCTTCGCTATAGTCTAGGCGGTTAGGATGCGAGATTCTCACTCTCGAGACCCGGGTTCGAGACCCGGTAGCGAAAGGATGAGTCATGGAGTCGTGCTGGAGTAGGCACGTCACAGAGGGTCGACATCGTATAGTGGTCAGTATCCCCGCCTGTCAGGACTCGAGCCAAGATACGGAACGCGGGAGGCCGGGGTTCGATTCCCCGTGTCGGCGGTTTTCATCTCCACGACCGAGGTTCTTCATGGTGGTTTCGCTGAACCACCATCCTAGAACACTTGTGTTCACCACCTCTTCAAGGACACCTATTTGCGCATGCTTGCCTGGATACATATCCATAAAACATCAAAAGATGAAACCGAAACCTGGTATCACACCTGGTATCCAAGGATGTGGTATGGCATGGTAGCATGTGCATGCTGTGTATAGAGGGCCATGTTGACAACATATTCCTGACGAGCTCGAGGTGGCAATCGTGACTATTGTAGGGCCGTAGGGCCACCGACACACCCATGTCGTACCTTTGATGCTCGCATCCCCAGAATAGCAACTAGCTTATAAACTATGTCGTAAAGCCAAACATGCATGGTGCCGTTTCAGTGCTGGCTACATCAAGGAAAAACGAGTAGTAATACCTTAATACGGGCAGAAGGGGGAACAACTATATAGCACAAATGATCCAGTGGATTGTTTTTCTTGTGTTGTGTGTGTGTGTGTGTATGTGTGTGTGTGTGCCTCTGCTGGATACATTTATACCAACCCAGCGAGTGTTTGGTGCTGTAGCAGCTGACCGCTGAAAAGGTCTCTCGAGTTGCTGGCGGTCGCGCTCTGCGCGTATTTATAGCGTCGTACTGTGTACCGGCTGCTACATTCCCCCCCCTTTGAAGGGAACCGTCCCGGGCCCTTAGAGCCTCGTATGCCACCAGCCTGTGCCTACCTTCGCCTACCCTCGGGCAGTGGGTAATTACTCCACGTCACGTCATGTGCCGGCTCACATGCGCCTAGCCGTCTTCAGATTTTTCAGGCACAGAGACAGTCCAGTCGGTTCAGCAACTTTTATAATTTGTGCGATATTCGCTCTCTGAGTCGCCACACCCGAATACCACTCGAACGTGATCGGTGGGGGTTGAACCGACGACTTCAGGATCGTGAATTTTCACGAGATCTCGATACCAAATGTAGCAGCTGACCGCTGAAAAGGTCTCTCGAGTTGCTGGCGGTCGCGCTCTGCGCGTATATATAGCGCCGTACTGTGTACCGGCTGCTACAGGTGCTCCCTGCTGTTTATTCCCGAGTTCTCTTTAACAGATCATTCCTCCCTTCCTGCCTGGGTGTCGTTGGCATGTGACAGAGCGCACAATACCTAGGACATACACCTGGACCTGCAACCAACCAACCAACCAACACACACACACACACTCTTTGGGCATGTCAAACAACGAACTAGATGGATAGAGCACATGCATAGGTGTGCCTTCAATAAGGAGGTACCGAAAATCCAGCGTTGCCAACCTCGTATATATAGGACATACATAATATAACAGTACACATGTACATGGGCAAGTGGGCAAACAGGAAAGCTGTAACCGTTTTTGTGTTTGTTTCGCAGTCTTTGGATTTATAAGTAGTAGACTGCAGTATTGATGCGTTTCCATGTGGCGACTTGGAAATCGTGCACTGCCCGGGTAGCTCAGTCGGTAGAGCGCAAGGCTCTTAACCTTGTGGTCGTGGGTTCGAGCCCCACCTCGGGCGTAATAGGCGGTGGCAGAGCCACTTTTGACCTGGCTGGCAGCTACAACGCGTGCAGGCCGTCATTTTCCAATCGCTCCTGGCCACCCCCATCAATCACGCCCACTTAGCAAGGCACTTGCTTGCTTTAGGAAAAGCAACGAAACTGCATTCAGCTAGTGTGCAGTATACTTGGCATCAGAGTTGTGGGATGACATGGAAAACAGAGCTGTTGGGGGTGGGCGGCCCAAAGTCAAGTAGCAAAGGCAGTTGCATTAGCAACAGCAAGGAAACTGCACTACAATGCGCTAGTGCGTGGTAGACTTGGCATCCGAACTGTGACACGACATGGAAAACCCAGCTGCTGAGGTGCTGTCACCGTAGGATGACAACCGCAGCTGCTGCAGGTTTGATGGCCGGAAGCCAGCGATCTGCTAGGAGTGCCTGTGGGAGTGCCTGTGGGACTACATGGACCAAAATCCAATGCCGCACACGATGCGATTCGAATGCATGCGGGGAAACCCCACCGCCTTAGCAGGGCGGCGCCTTAACCACTCGGCCACAGGTGCACAGCAATCCGCAAGCTCCAGATTGCTGCTGAAGTTGAGCTAATATTGGGGACACACCCTAGCTGTCAGTAACTCCAAGTTCGACATGATGACGTAACATGATGACGTAACAAAAGCAACAATAAACAAATGACGCACAAGCAAGCAAGGATGCCACACATATCTATTCGCTAGCTCCATGAAAGGAACCAGAACCTGTCAGCAACACCGTACCATGCTACCAGGGAAAGCTGTCACATCTACAGCCCCGTCATATCATGCATCAGTTTGTCGTCATTAAGAGAGCACCCAGACTCTGGGTGCCATGGCTGTGGCATGTATCATCCATCCAATCCCCTTTTTCGTTCTGAACTTATACCATCCCCAATCGCCGCATCTCAACGCACAACAGGCCAGGATGCCCTATTCATGATTTGCAAGTTGACCAACAACCCGCAAGAAGCGTGCATATA